CAATTTAAAATTTAAAAAACACGTTCTGAACTCAGTATAAATATCAAATATAACCAACATGCCCCTAATCACATGCATCGTACTCCACAAGCAATGTCGATAGAACTCTTTTACTTATGTCGATAGATGCACTGATTCGATTCTTTTAACCTGAAATTGAGAGTAAAAGAGTGAGCTTTGGGAAGCTCAGTAATATAGAACTACCAAGTTATGCTGAAGAACATGCAGATAAATGGAAAAGTATAAATTTTCCTTGTTGATTTAGACGTCTATAGGTTTTTAGGATGAGTTGTAGTTCCACTGATATTTCTTCGAGTAAAAGACATGAAGATTTTAGTTTAGAGGAAACATTCAGAGGACCAAGTTCAGAAGATCATAATAGGATGTCTAGTGTGTTCCAACCAAAACCGGTGAAAAGGTATAGATATTTCTAAAACAGTAACAATTTAAAATATATTTTTAAAACTATAGTAAAATCCTCCAACCGAATACCGTTATGCAGTTCCCCAGAACTGCATCTATAAGGACTTACCCTAAGCACACAACAAATGAGCCACCCTAAGGGAATGCCTTCGGCCTATGGGCCTACCCAAAGGTCTCCTTAGGTCTTTAAGGATTTATCAATTTGATCAGAGCCAACCCTCCATACTCCAGAATCATACCCATACAATATCTAGTAGAAATCAGATTTAATAGTAAACAGTAATATCAGGATCGTGATCCAGTAAAATCTCGTAAGTGTGACAATGATATAAACCATATAACTTCCCTCTACCCATACACCATATGCAGTTACATGATTTACCCAATGGAGTGCCTTGGGGTCTGAGAGCCTACACAAGAATGTTTCTCGGGGCCTCGGAGCCTACCCAAGGGTCACCTTAGGTCCGTAAGGAATTACTAGCTTGATCAGATCAGAACCTTCATACTTTAGCCTACCCAGATAATGTTCTAATAAAACAGTTCTAGACTTCTAGTAGTAACCAGTGGATCTCATGATACATGAATCAGGAACGATTATATTTTCCAGTGAAAACATGTAATCAGAGAACACATACCATGTAACCATGGTTCATAAGCCAGTAAATCATAAATTTTGGTTAAACACATTTCAAAACAGATAAAACATTCATGTAATACAACGAGAACATACTAGAGGATCCTATTATTTTCTGGGGGTACTTAGCAATTATCAAGTGGGGACCATGAAACTGTTGTAATTTAATAGGATTTCATAATCAAGATCCCTATAAAAAAAGGGAGTTTGATAGCTAACGAATTCATTAGTCATACATGAATGATTTATCAAGATCATATAGTTTCTAAATATTTTTTGGAGGCACTAATTAATCTGGAAGGTGTTCGAAAAATTTTACATCAAAATTACTTGAGATTTCAGGTATGATATAAGTGATTCTATTATTCAGAAAAATCAGGGGCATTTTGGACATTTGGTCCTTAGAGAATTCTTAGTAATTTAATATAATAAAAATGAAACGATGATTCATGATATTTAAGATTCATTTCGATTTATCATAATACCAAGTCAACTTGAACTGAATAAATCATAACACTGTGATACCTGTCAACCAATCAAACCGATGCACTTCAAGGATATGCACAGTTTAATACTGACATCACTAGTCGAATTGATCATCTTCTTAATCATCATTGAATAGATCTTAAGAAGCCGAATAAGTTTTCTTTCCCCAGTACTGATTGCACTAGTTGAACGAACCTCTTTTACAGTCAACATCGACTAGATCTTTACATGATGAACAAATAATTTGGTGGTGTTTAATTAATTCATGAATTGCAACAATATCCACCTATTTTAAGTCATTAGAAAAACGAGCCGGTTCAACAATTGAGATTAATTTGATCTTCTTAGACTTCAAGATATTATGGTTTCTTTAGAGCTTAGGGCATTTTGGTTATTTGAACATTAGATGTTATTTTAGTTATTTCCCAGCTCTGAACATTTCGATAATTTTGATCAATCCAAACATATGTACCATTTTTGGTAATTTGGTCAGATATATCTGTTCAACGTTATTTTTCTCTTTTAGGGGGTAATCTTAGTCTTTTTGCAGTGCAAGGACATTTTGGTCAAATTATAATTCAAGGGTATTTCAATCATTTCCTTTCGTCCATACTTTTCATTTAATTCAATTTTTTTTGAATAATTCAAACATAACTAGTACTTCCAATATTTTAGTCTTCAAGGGCTTGCTAATAAATAAACAATTATAGGTCTTGTACCTTCTCGAATGTTAGGATTCGATTATTAGTGACTATTTGAGTATATCAAGAATTTAATATATGAAACAATGATTTATCGAATTAAAATATGAATTCTTAATGTACTTTCGCTCTCATGTCAGTACGGGCCATTTTTACCTCATAGGGGTAATTTTGTAATTTTATATTCAAATAATTTCAGTATTAAAGCTTTTAGAGATGATAAAAAGAATTTACAGATTATGATGTTATTTGCTCTTAAGACTAATCATTGTACTTGAACTCATTTCTTATTAGTCTTCTCATTTTCTATATGTAATTCGATCAAGTTTTAACCAATTTATAACTTAATCAATAACCAAAATATGCATAATAGACCAATCATATATATTCATGTATTTATCCATTATCAACATGTTCTATAAAACATGCAAAGAGGTAGTAAAGTATTACCTCGATTTATGTGCTCCACAGATCGAATATTTAAACTCCATTTGATCACTCTCAAACTTGAATCAAATGTTCAATAATTTCTCGGATACATAGCAAAGGAATTTACGTCAGAAACTGAACTTAATCAAAAAACCAATTTGAATCCGAAGATAAAACACTGAAAATGGCTTACCGAGTGCAAATTTTGCCAACCGAACTTCGGATTCGGACTCATGATGTCGAAAAACATAAAATATGACTTTTCAAAAATTTTGACTTTTTTGGTCAAAGTCAATGATCAACGGTCGGACCGGTTAAAGTCAACGGTCAGACCGTTCAATGGTTAATGGGTCAGGTCAAAGTCAATGGGTCGAGTCAGGTTGACTTGGATCGGGTCAAAACAGACCAGATTCAGACTGAGTTGGCTAATTCAGGCCGGTTCAGATCGACTGGACCGGCTCTAGAAGGTTTTCAAAAAGCCCATGCGCAGGAGGAGGAGCGTGGCGGCGGCGATAGGCTCGGGGTGATCGGTTGATTCTTCCATTAGCATCTACACATCATTTGCAGCAAAAAATTTCACCACAAACAACCATCAACCATACCAAATAACCGGACATAGAACCAAACTTACCCATTAATGGTCGATCGAGGAAATGAAGAAGATGCGGCGACCCACGGACTAGGTTTTTGGGCCAACGGAATAGGGGGTTCTGTGGTGCAGGTGGTGAGGGGACAAGCGAGGCAGCCGAATTTCGAGAAAAACAAAGCGGCGAGGATAGGGATTCGACAGAGCTTCAAGCATCGATTCACGTTGATTGACTTTGATTAACGGTGCAACGGGGCTTGAACCTTGTTCGCCGATCAACAACGAGTCGAACGGGAGTAGTAGAGAGTTGAACGGTGGCCGAACGACAAGGATTGCAAGGGCCGACGGGGTAGGCGACGGCTAGAGCAAATAATTTGGGAATAATTAGGGATAATTTTGGGGTTTTGCATGCTCGACCAGGGGTTTATTTTTCACTAACTAGAAAAATGGTAAAATTCAAGGTTGAGTCCCTGAACTTCCAATAGGTTTTAAAACTGAGCTGTAAACTTTTAAAAATTTGTAATTTGGTCCTCAACTCTCTTTTAATTTTTTTTGGTGTTACATGAATACTTAGCATCTGATGATTTTTACGCGTAGGTTTAGTGTACGAATCGAAGTGAGGAGTGCAACTGATATCATATGTTAAGGGTTGCCTCATTAGTAAAAGTATGATATCTCTAGATGTTTATTTAGATATTACTAGTTGGCATGTACTTAGATATGTTGTGATGCTCTGATAAGATACTTGGTATTTGATTGTAGTATTATATTACGTTTGAACTTAAACTACTTTTTGATGGATTTTTAAACGTGATTTTATATATTATTAGTTGAAGAACGTTTTATAAATTATATTATTAAACCGTTTATTTAAATAAACAAAATTTTACATGTTTTCAAGTACGAAAATGTTTTAAAAATCATGTGATATATGTGACTTGTGTACGGGGACGTATACGGGAAACGAGTTTTACATTTGGAGCTCAATTATAAAGATAGAAATTGGATTAAGAAAAAATTAAAGTGATCACTTATAAATATAAAAAAATGGGATTGAAAAAAAAGTTAGGAGTTTCAATTATAAATATATAAATTAGAATTTCATAAATTATGACCTCAATTATAAAAATAAAAAAATTAAATTAAAGAAAATTAAGGGACTAAATTATAAAAATTAAAAATTAAAAACCTTATAAAAAATTGGGCCTAAGAAGTCGCTCAGACTACACCCCTAATAGTCGACTCTAGCCCCTCCCTACTATAACGGGGTCAATCTCCGAAGATAATACCATACCATAATTTTAAAAATAAAAATATTATATCGATAGTTTTATTATTTTTTTTATAACAATCGATTAAAATGAAACTCAAACATAATATTAATAGTGATTTTGAAAAAAACTTAGATAACTAAAATAAAGTTAAAATAATAATTACATGGTTAAATATTAAAAAATAAAAACAAATATAATCGGATCACATCACCTAACTGTGACAGGTAACCATGATATCAAAATCCACCACGTGAACTAATACGCTCCCACTACATCAATCCGTAACGCGTCTGCCGCAATTCATTAAACCGTCGAGCACATGTCACACACTTCACCGTCAGATGAGACTAATTCAGATAGAGTACCATGAAGATTGGGAATCTCGATACATCGAACTTGGACACGTTGGATGAGGATAAAAATCCAATCCCATATTCAAACAGCTCGATTGTGACCATAAAATGACACAAATTTCCATAATGCTATAAGAAAAACTTGGCTCTGCAAGAAAGAAGAAAGAAAAGAGATTTTACGAAATGGCTGAAGGAAATGGGTGTTGCAAGAAAACGGGACCTGGATATGGAACTCCCTTGGAAGCCATGGCTGGTCCTAAAGAAGCTCTTATTTATGTTACTTGTGTTTATACTGGTACTTCTTTTTTCCTTTTTTCTAGCGTTTTGTTTTTCTGGGTAATGATTGTTTTTAAATGGGCTGCCTTTAATTTTTATGGGTTTTTCTTTATTTAATTCATTTATGTATGAAGATAAAGCTTTTTTGGGGTGGAGTTTTCTATCACGTTGTTTGATATTTGATTCATTTATGCATGAACCTGTGAGGGTATGGGTTTTTTTTATTCGTTGTTTGTTTTGATTCAATTATTTTTAGTGTTTATTATTAAATGGACAAGAATATTTGAAATCTGATTTGATAGATTTAGTCTTACCAAGGACATGACCTCTTATAAAAGAATATAGAGACTTAAGATTAGGTAATCGAATAGTGTGTGTCACATCTATAAAGTGTATTATCTTTGTCTTCTTTTAATATCTTTATAGTAATTTCTATGACTTCTATTTTTTATACGTTTCTGTTATTGGTATTTATGAAGGCTTAGAATTAGACTTGCTATCGTTGACTTCTGTGTATCATTCTCTTCATATTTTCTCTTTTAAATTTAGCCGGGTCTTATGTTACTGTCTATATACAGAGATTTTTTCGCAGGATTTTATTTATAGGGATTACTTCCCATTAAAGACGCGCATAGGATATTAATGATTACATATGAATACTGTTCAACTATGTATTTATATATTTATTTATATATGCATTGTATTTTATCTATATTTTTAATTTTCTGACTGCCGGAGGTCTTTTACGGAAGTTACTCTCAACCTGGCGTTGGGGGCAGTCTACTACCCTATCTTCCCTTACCCCATTGCATATGAGAATTGGGTTTTATTGTTGTATCAAATGGGCAAGAAATTTTTTAACACTGTTCACTCAGTCCATACTAATCAAAATCAACATTTTTCATGTGTATAATCTGGAGTGTTTTACAGATCATAATAAAAATTTTAAGTTAAGAGCATCATGTATTTTATTTCTCTTTTATTCTCTGTTTTAAATTTTTACCTCACTAGTAACTACCTTGGACGGGATAATATATGAAATTCTTCTTCTTTTATCAGAATTTTTTAATGTTATTTTTAATGTAATTGATAATTCATGCTTCTATCAAACTTGAAACAGAACTTACCGGTTTGTATAATTATTTATGTTAATCTGTGGTTGATTTTCAGTAGTTTTCTTAGTTTTGAAGTTGTGAAAAAAGAGGGTTTCAAATGGTGATGTGTATGTGCAGGAACTGGGAGAGAGAAACCTGATTTCCTGGCCACAGTCGATGTAGATCCGAACTCACCGACGTATTCTAAAGTTATACACAGGCTCCCTGTGCCATATATCGGCGATGAACTTCATCACTCTGGATGGAACGCTTGCAGCTCTTGCCATGGCGATCCATCGGCCAATCGCCGTTTTCTCATTCTGCCTTCTTTGGTGTAAGGACTATATTCTTGACCTTTTATGTTTATGCTTTATCAATGTAGCATACTAAGAATTTGCCTGATATCTATGTGTCCAACATGGTATTCTTAATTTCCTTTTTTCATGTCTTCTTAGGCATTTGGATGGTCTTTGTGTTTGAGGTCATATCGTCGTACCCATGTCCTAGTATGTGTCGGACCAACATTGATTTTAAGCTGCCAAAACTTCATTACACATTGTGCCTTTTTGCAGATCCGGTCGTATCTATGTGGTTGACACACAGACGAATCCCAAGGCTCCCTCATTGCATAAAGTGGTTCAGCCTGAGGATATTGTTAAGAAGACAGGCCTAGCATATCCACACACGTCCCACTGCCTTGCCTCCGGTGATATAATGGTGTCATGTCTTGGAGACAAAGATGGAAATGCTAAAGGCAACGGATTTCTTCTGCTTGATTCCGAGTTTAACGTGAAGGGAAGGTAAAGAAAAAAAATGATTGTCATTGAACCATGAAACAATGAAGATTCAACCTCTAAGTTACTCTGGTATTCTTCAGGTGGGAGAAACCAGGGCATAGTCCTTCATTCGGCTATGACTTTTGGTACCAACCTCGACATAAAACAATGATCAGCTCGTCGTGGGGTGCTCCTGCAGCCTTTACCAAAGGTTTCAACCTTCAGCATGTTGCGGAGGGTCTTTACGGTAGACATTTGCATGTGTACAGTTGGCCTGATGGTGAATTGAAACAAACACTGGATCTCGGTGACACTGGTCTCATACCCTTAGAGGTGATTACATATTAACAACATTGAAACATGTTACAACTTTTTTCAGACACGATGTTGCTCAAAGATAACGCTGCCCTCTCTATGCAGATAAGGTTCCTACATGATCCCTCCAACGACACAGGGTATGTCGGGTGTGCCTTAACAAGTAACATGGTTCGTTTTTTCAAAACCGAAGAAGGATCATGGAGCCATGAGGTTGTACATCTTTGCAGGTTCAATAATTTCGTGCGAGTCATTGCCTTCCACGAGCCTACCAATATGATTATTTAACTTCTGCAGGTGGCAATCTCAGTAAAACCATTGAAGGTGCAAAACTGGATTCTCCCCGAAATGCCTGGGCTTATAACAGATTTTCTAATATCTCTGGATGATCGGTTTTTGTATTTTGTCAACTGGCTTCATGGGGATGTCCGACAATATAACATCGAGGACCCGAAGAACCCGATCTTGGCTGGTCAAGTATGGGTTGGAGGACTGATTCAAAAGGGAAGCCCTGTTGTGGCTGTGACAGAAGATGGTCAAACATGGCAGTCTGATGTTCCGGAGATCCAGGTCTGTCCTCATATTCATATTACTTGAAAATTACGGGTACTTGAACTTGGTTGCGAGCGTGGGATGTGGGTATGGACCCGACCTGAATACGCTCAATGCTGTTGTAAGTTTCTGTGTATAGTTTTGTCAATGAAACCTGATGCATGCTGTCTTGATACTTATTTGCTGTGTAATCACGGTGACTCGACTCGAATGACCTGATAGGCAGTTTACTCATTTTCAGTGCAAAAACCCCATTATTTTGAAACATTGATTAACCTTGTTTTACAGGGACATCGACTGAGAGGTGGACCACAGATGATCCAGTTGAGCTTGGACGGAAAACGACTATACGTTACGAACTCATTGTTCAGCACATGGGATCGCCAATTCTATCCCGAACTTATGGAGAAGGGTTCCCACATGTTGCAGATCGATGTGAACACAGAAAAAGGCGGACTTAAGGTAAACCCGAACTTTTTTGTGGACTTTGGAGCTGAACCAGATGGCCCTTCATTGGCACATGAGATGAGATATCCAGGTGGTGACTGCACTTCAGATATTTGGATTTAAGCCATGCAGAATCCAGTCCCTTTCAACCCACTTGGACTCTAGGATGATGAACGAATAAATGTAATTTACTTTGAATAACATGTTGAGTTAGGGGTTTGATCTTGAGTGGGTTCTTAAACTCTATATCAGTATATCAATGTGCTATCTTCAACAGTTGAAATCATTGAATAAAGGGTGCAAATTTAACTAATTACTCGAATTTTCTTGTGTGCATTAAGATTGATCATTTTATTTATGAAATTTTTATTTTACAGAATTTTTGTGAGAGATTAAAAAAAATTTAATGACGTATTTGGTAACTTTAATATTTATCTAAGAAAATGTAAGCTAATTTTAAATTATTTTTAGTAAAATTAAAACTATTTAAGTTCACTTTTTTTGGTTGATTAAGCTAAGATTACAAATAGTATATTGTCTAAAAATACTTTCATTCATTTGATAATGAATATTCAATCATCCTACTGCAATTGCTAGTATTCGAACCCGTGACTTTGAAGACTAACAACAATTTTTTTAATCACTTAGGTAGGTTTGTTCGTACATTTAAATTCAGTTTTCAATTCTTTTCTCAACCCTCTAGTAGTATTTTTATCCAAAACCAATATTGTTGATGCATGAGCCTTATTTCATAATGGAACAAGTTTTTGAATCTTAATGATATACTCTACAACCAAATACCTTTAAGGACGATGCCTTACACGCCTATGTTACTTTAATACATCTGTTTGGAGTAATAATTTTCAACAATCTTAAGGACTTGGATGCTATCAACACTCTTCATATTCTTATGCTTACAACCTTGTATTATAGTTCAAACAAGTTTTACCATTGCAGTTTGTCGATTTTTATTATTAAATTTTTGTATGCAGTAATGATAAAAAAAATTAGTTAAAATTTAAAATATTGACATCTAATAATATTAATTGACCTATGTAATTGGAATAATAATAAGTCTAAATAATTGCATTATAGATGAGATTAAATAGATTTTTGAGTCAATCGAACCAATGAAATAGTCAAGTGGAGGTGAATTGACAATTAAAAGAATGATGTAAGTTTTTTGTAAGAAATTGAAATATTTGACGCAAGCAATTTTAGAGTGGTTTAACTTCTTCAATACTACATCCATTATCTTAGCTTCAACATTGATGATTTCAACAAATTCATTAATTTGTTCAAACCTTTTAAGACAAGGAATGTGATTACACAATTTAAGAATAAATAAGAACATTTATCAAATGAAACAAATGAGTACAAAAGTGTTCTTTAAAAGCAAAAAGAATATTGAATTGATTTTGGCTCAATGTGATTGCTTTGACTTTCTCTATGATCTCTTATCTTCAAACATGACTTGAAATCTTGTTTTTATACCCCCTTTATTCAATTCTAGTCGTTTAAGTTGTTGTGGGAGTTAATAGAGTCGTTAGGATGAATTTTCCAACAATAAATGATGCCCATACACTTTGAGTATTGGTACTCGGGGTTGGAGTATGGATACTGCATGCATTAATTAAAAAATCTAGTCATTGGTGAGTGGGGAGTATCAGTAATGTACTTAGAGTATCGATACTCAAAGAGTATCGGTACGAAAATAGTCTACTGGAATAGGTGTTTGTCAAAAACTTAGAGGGAGTATAAGTACCAGGATCGATACTTCAATGTATTTTAACTCATTAGTATTGGTACCAGTACCGATACTGTTCTTGCAGTGTCGGTACTCTAGGGTTAAAAATTGATTTTTTGACTCGATTAAGATAAAAAAAAACCCTTTGTAAAAATATTTGAAAATTATTTCCAGTATACAACTAGAATTTTTCAAAAGAGTAAGGAGTAAAGATGGAGTTTTTGACTTTAAATTTTTTTATATTCGAATGGTTGAATCGAATATAAATTTAAAAATCGAATTAAAATTAATCTTAAAATTTCTTTATACTTATTTACTTTTGGTATATCAAATCTCAAAACATAATTTAACATAGATCATAGAGGTTATTGATAGTTCATCCTTTTTTTAGTTTGGACAAAAAATTGTAAGAAGTAAAAAATTGATCATTAGCTAATGAAAAGAACTTCGTCGAGGGTCGGCCCAATACATGTGTCAGGGCCTTTTTAAGGGACATCATGTTTCTAATATTTTGCCTTCCCCAAAGTTATTACCTCTTTTGCTTCCCCCAGACACGACGCCCATTTTGATTGTAAAACTGAATCCGAGATTGAGTTGTTTTCAGTTTCCAGTTGTTCCAAATCCTTCGCACCATTCTCTGATTTACTTCGTGTTTGGATGCATTTATGCTTTTCCGGTTCTGGAAGGTCAGCTTTCTTTAATTTATGTAGTGAGACAAATTTCTTGGGTCTACTTGGTTGATCTATCCTCTTCGAAATTCCCTCCTTTGTCAATTATATAATTCCCATTATTTATGGATTTTAAAGTTATTATGGGTTTTTGTTGAATTGATTAGATACCTAATACCTTATTGTATGACCAGGATTTTTCTCATCTGAGTTTTGTTTAAATCAGGGGTTTATTTTTAAATGTTCAATATGAATTTCATGTTTGGTCTTAGCATTGAATTGAAGCGATTAGGTGTTTCTTTTTAGTTGTCCTTGTTGATTTTGATATTAATGAATTTCTGGCACTCCATTATCAAAATACTTTCAAGGAATCTGGAATGTGCCTCAATGTTTTTTACTTTGGGGTCCGTTTGTCCAAAGAATCATGTTCACTTTGAAGATTTTGGAAATGATATTAGTTTGTTCTTGCCTAATGGTTAAGAATGTTGTAGAGTGAGGTTATCCACAATATTTGACTCCATTCGTAATGTGTTTGGTTAAGACCATGAACAGCCAAGTGTTGGCTAATGTTTGCAAGTGCTTTCTGGATCTTGGATCGTGAGATTGCATTTGCTGTTTTGCTAGTAGCCTAGCAGTAGATAGCTTTCTTGTTTAATTTATCTTCTTTTATCATATTAAAAAAATTACATTCTTTTATTTAAGTGAATTAGTAGGCTTAGCCAATGCAACTATGTTGATTATGGTCTCAGATAGTGTAACATCCGCATTACCGGGTTAGTGACCAAATTGTAAAGTTTCAGAATTTGGTGACTAAAGTAGGATAATTGAATAGTTCCATGACTTCTTGGAAATATGATGAAGGTTATTCAGTAATTATTAAAGGAAATAAAGGGTAAAATGGTCATTTGATCATTTAAGAAAAAAAAAGGTATACACGTGGAGAGGGAGAGAATTCTCCAGAATTCTTTTCTCCTTTCTTCTTCTTCTTTACGTGGAAGCCAAGAGCAAAGGTAAGTTTGATTTAGCTTATGATTTCTTGAAAGTTTTAAGTTGGATTTGAGTCTTTGAGGGTTATATAAGCTTAAGGAAAGCTTATATAAGCTTAAAACACCAAAGAGATAGAATTAGAAAGGAATTTCTATTAAGGGTTTATAAATGAACTTTTGTTATAGAAAGGTTTTTGAAGTTCTAAAGTTGGATTTGACTTGTCATCAGCTTAATTAAGAAGTATTAAGTGTTAGAATTGGATTTAGAACATATAGAAAATTTGGTATGATTCTTGAATCTCATAAAGAAGATAGGATTTTGAGGTTAAAGATGATTTACATGGATATAAGTTGGTTCAAGTTATAGTAGTTGAGTTTAATGTCAAAATAGGGGCTTAAAATAGAAGAATTAAGGGAAGAGTTGATGATTTACGTGCTAAAATGTCAGTTCTGGGCAATGTGCATCGATGTACATTCATTGTGCACCGATGCATCGATGATAAATACCAGAAATTGTTTAAGGTGCATCGATGCACATGCAGTGCATCGATGCATGAATTTAAATAGAAAACATCGAATAGGATTTATGCATCGATGCATAAGGAGTGCATCGATGCATCCCCATTAAATACAAACATCGAATAGGATTTATGCCTCGATGCATGGTGTAGTGCATCGATGCATACCTTCATTAAAAGATGAAATTGGCTTTTCTTTGAGACTAAGGAGTGATAGTTTCGAATATATCAATCATTATACTGATAAGTATTAATGTATTATTATGTAGATATAGAATGAAAGCTTGTTCCGGAACAAACTAAGGATTAGGATTGATTCAAACAACGAGGCCCAGGTGAGTGCATATTCAATAGTATATGATGTGCGATGGGAATAAGACTTGCGATGAGTCTATTTCCTGAAGTGTTACACATGAATGCATGATTAAAGGCATGAATTGAATATGCATGTATGCTTGATTATATGGATTGATCTGTTCTTTTATGTGTTAGGTGAGAAAGTATAAGTAATTACATAAGAAAGGTTATGAATTATATGAGATATAAACTATGTGATCATAGTAAAATATAATTATTATTATTATATGATAAGTGAAATAAGCTGGATAATATTGATCTATAGGATGAAGTGAGAATAGTACACTAACTAGGAGATTTGAACATAAATGATAAGATGAACATATAAGATAAGCTAGATGAGAAAGATTCATATGTTTAAATAAAACTATACACACATGGGTTGTATGATAGAAATTTATGAAGTTATATGAGAAGATTATAGGAGTTATATGAAATTGAATTAAGTAAACAGATTAGATTATATATATATATAAAGAAATAATAGAAGTGAGATGTGTTTATAAGTCTGCCCTAGATGAATATGAATATAAATTATAAGAGTGCTATATGATTTATATTAGGATAAATCTTGAGAATATATATTTATATAGATGGATATGAAATGAAATGAGTTATATGAATACATAATTATGTGATGAAATGGTGGATTACCTGAACATGTGAATATATATATATATATATATATATATATATATATATATATATATATATATATATATATATATGTCTAAGAGAAGGCATAAGATTAAGATATAAGCAATGTGACTATAAGTATATATGTGCTCTAAGTGATATGACTTATAGGTATTTCTATTATAATGTTACATAATATGTTATGTATGTTAAATGAATTATGTGAGGGTATAAGAAATGATATGAAATATATATGTGAAAACAAGTATATGTTATGAGATAAGACCTATGACTATAAGCTACGTGAAAGTGTTCTAGGTGTTTCGATATATATATGAAGTATATGATCTTATGTGA